AATTTAAATTGACTTGTGGAATATGAAATGATGAGAAGGATAGATTAGACTACTTATTAGAGCAGGGAAATATCTCCTAGGAGCTTCTTCTCTAAACGTGTTCCCTAAAGGGAGGCTTGGGTTTAGCGCAGTGAACTTCTTCACTGAACGGCAGGGTTGGTCTTCTGTCAAGAGCTTTCCGTCAACAATAAGTTTAGGCTTCCGGACTGATGCAGTTTATTTCAGGCAAAAGTGGCTGCATTTTGGGATACACTGCTCGGGAGTGCATTGATAGTTAGGATTACCTCCCTGCTCTCTCTTTCAGTTGCGTCTGAATACTTCTGTATTGGGCTCTTTTGGGTTCCAGGTCACAGCGACATTAAATCATTTAAATTGACTTGTGGAATATGAAATGATGAGAAGGCTAGATTAGACTACTTATTAGAGCAGGGAAATATCTCCTAGGAGCTTCTTCTCTGCACGTGTTTCCTAAAGGGAGGATTGTGTGGAGCGCAGTGAACTACTTTACTGGACGGCAGGGTTGGTGGTGTGGTCTTCTGTCGAGAGCTTGCCATTAACCATAAGTACAGGCTTCCGGACTGCTGTAGTGTGTTTCAGGAAAAAGTGGCAGAAGTGCATTTCAGAAGGCAGTGGATTCACTGCTCGGGAGTGCATTGATAGTTAGGATTACCTCCCTGCTCTCTCTCTCAGTTGCGTCTGAATACTTCTGTACTGGGCTCATTTGGGATCCAGGTCACAGCGACATTACGGGGAACTGTGCGTCGGTTGGTCGAAAACCAGTTTAAGCGCGATTGTAAAGTCATCCTGGACGATTAAGGAACGGTGGCTGAAGAGGGCACGCCTCACACTTACAAACCTACAGCTGTCACCCTTGATGAGGGTTTACCGGTTTACCGGTTTACCGGTTTACCTTCCAATCGGTACTCGACAGAAAATCTAAAAATATTGCCTGGTCCCGTGTGTCGCAATTGCCTGGAAGATCAGGAAGCATTATCATCTCAGCACTACCTGCTTAAGTCCCCAGCGTTCGCGAGAATAGTGTTGGAATACTTTGCCTCGCACGTCCTTAATATCCCTGAAAGGTTCTGGGGCATTGCAATTAGCCGGATTCGTAATTACATAATGGGATCGAAATGTCGTATCGATTAAGTAGTGGGTTCAGTTCAAAATGGGGTTTAAAAAGGACAATCTCTTAATTATGTAGGTGAGTCTTTTACTTCTGGGACTGCCGCCTAACCTAACCTTAACTAGAGAAGGGAGCAAGTTCAATTATTACCGCGACCAGAAGTTATCTATTGTAAGAAATCTTGAATTGGTTACAGGTCTTCCTTGAACCACGTATCGGCTTAGAACCACGCGATACCCATTGTCGAGGTGCCATTTAGGGCATCTACTTTTAGGTACAGCAATCCTGGAAAACAGAAAAATCTGCTTCTTGCTGAAAAATCCAGGATTTACCAATGGATGCGAAGACTATTAAGAACTGCATCGAAAAAAATTGTACGCCATGTATTCGTTTATATTTTTACAGCAAACCAACTTGATAATGAGACCAAAATAATCCTATCTTATTTTACAATTGATATCTCTTTCTTACAGCAAATCAAGGTATATCGCTACAAGGTAATCGCACGCTTCGGTCTCATGCATATGATTGGCACGAATTTGGCCGTCTGGCTGAACGTGCTCATACAGGAGACGAAACATGAAATTCTTACTTTCTACAATCCCGAAAATCGCACTCTACGTATCTCACATCGCATTCCGGGTCATTCGCGGGGACATGCCGTCTCACCGACGGTCATCGCGTCCGATCCGACGGCACACTTACGCTTACCGCGGGGCCTCAAAGGGCCCTATCAAATATTCGAGTGTCGCCGAACCAATATAATTGGCACACTCGTACAGGACGCCTCACCGTTCCTTTTCCCTTGCACCATAGAGTATTCGCTCATTTGTGCCGCCATTTTGTATGTGATGTGGCGTAGTATTTCGCGTCCGCAAACACCAGCGCCACAGCGTCCGGACACCATCAGTTCGCCGATGAAGCGCTCTCCCCATCACTATTCGGTGGATTGTGCGCGTGCCCACAAGGGTCTCTTCGTTGGCATACTCATACTCGTGCTGACCATCATTTCGCTCATTCTCTTCTTCGTGTTGATCTCGCGACCGGATTTTGTCGCCCTGGCCGTGACCGAAGTGACCATCTGTGAACTCCTCATCTACGGCACCGCTACAATAGCAACACTAATTGGCATGATACAAATACGACATTTGCAATACGATTGGTATCGCAGCTTCTCATTGGATGATATATTGTTAGTTGGCGCGCAGACTGGCTCCTTCTTATACAACATCTTTACAGTGATTGCGGGTCATTTTACACTGCGTAGCGATGATATGTTAGTGCCATTGAATGCACTCGCCTCCATTGTGCAAACAGCTTGCCAAACGTTATTCATATTGGATGCTAGTCGGCGACAAGCCATCAAACCAGAGCATATACGAAAGAAACCCGGACGAGAAATTGTGACTTTCATGTTGGTGGTGAATCTAGCGATGTGGGCTATCAGCACGCTCGAGAAATCACGCGCCGAATCGCATCCGATACAG